AATCCTAAAAACAAGACGCTAATTTAATCGTCACAAATATATCTGCACCAGAAAAAGTTTTTTGGATTTTGTTTTGAAGAACACAAAAGCACAGAGAGGTTTGTTACAAGAAAACATGTAGCTTTAGAGTTATCTTATAAAATTACTAAAATCAAAGAGGGGTATAGTAGCAGCATTTTGAGAAGAATGAAGCTGAGCTTATCACTTGCATTTCCTTCAACTAAACAAAATGAAACTTAACCAGAGGCACTTTGCATACAGACATGTACATGATTGTAAATAACCTTGCAGTGGGTCTGTGTGTACAGCGTATATCATCAACAGCGTGTGTATATATTGCTTAGGCCGATTTTCCCTGTTTGTGCTACCTGTGATCTAACTCCCTGTGCTTCTGAACTCATCTGAAGTTGCTGTTCATAGGGACTTGAGAACAGAGACATACAGAATTTGGTCACTGGGCTGTAAAATGGCATTAAGGGAATGCTTACCTCTCACCACATTTTAATTTAGAAGTGAATGGACTGGGGTTTGTTACATTAGTTTTGCTTTTGCTTAGTTGAACGTAAGTGTAATTCATGCACTGATAAATAAGTTCTCTCAAATAACCTGTTAAGCCTGGTAAATACCAGACTTTAAGTATATTGTAAAGAACTCTTTCTCTTACCAAATCCACACAGAGTCCATCTTTATCTATGCCCTTTGAAACATGCACTAGGTTGCCATGTAGGCAACTGTGTACAATGTAGACAATCAGGCAATTTTTTTTTGGTCTATATTGTGCATTTTGCTGCAAATCTGAAAGCAGAAGTGTACACCAGCTGTTTGCTGCGTGGCCTGAACTGGATGGTTGAAGCAGGCCAGACCTTTTTTTTTGCTGCTTTTGCTGGGCAGCCGGTGCATTCTGCGATCTTTTCGGATGGCCGGCCGGCCAGTATCTCTGCCTTTTTCTTCCCATTTTGGTGTGACTATGTTAAGGAAACTGCAGTCTCTGTGCTTGCTTCTGACAAGTGTCAGGAGCTCTGGAAGATGGAGGTTCTTGTCTCTCTTGCCCTTTTTTAATGCTGAGTAGAATCTGTTCTGGGACAAGATCGACTAGAATGCAAACAAGATAAGGAAAAATTACCTTTTTGTCCTTTAGTTTTATCTGTTGGAGAGAAGGTCATATGGGTAGTGGCTAATAGTGTTCAACATAAAGCTTTTTGTAAAGTGTATAAATGATGTATTGGCATTTTGACAAATCAACAGGCTTCTGAGTGCTCTAATAATATTCCTATGACACTTATGAATCAAGTCACTAATACTTTCAAATGAAATATTCTTTCTCATTTAAAATAAATAAAAAGCTATATTTCCCTTCATAGACAAGAGATAAGGTAAGTCCCATTGCTGTTTTCTGTTGTCTGATTTTCCTTACAGTGTTGTATGTTTGCTTTCTTCTTTCATATATAATTTCCCTTTTTTTCATATATACCTAAAAGAAATTACCTGAAATCCATCTCTCTATATACCGTAGTATGGATCATTGTTTAATTTTAGACTGCTTATCTGCTATATTAAAAAGAGTGAGAGCCTTCACTAGCTTTGTATGGACAAAGAAATTATTTTTTCCTAATACAGATTTCTGCAAAGACCGAACCTTTTGAATATAATGAGCGGAAAAAAAATTTGACTCCCATAAATTTATTTCTCTGTGGTGTATTGCATGATTTGTATCATAAAGTTTCATTTTTAGTTTCCCCTGTAAGCTCATCATACCAAAGACAGGATTTAGGATCAAAACATGACATCTTTGCCTTATTGATGGCACCTATTTGGACAAAAAATGACAATGAACAGAAGTCTCCTGAAAAATTGTGACTAAATCTAAATTTGAAGTATTAAGAAGGATCTACTTTTTATAGATGTATTCGCTTCTAATTGTTACAGTAACAAAGAATTTGAAAATATGCATTGATATGTATATATGTCAGATATGTATTTGCTGATATGCTTACAACTGTGTTACTAAGTAAGAAAATGTGTATGCTCAAAAATAAATAATTTCTTGAAAGTTGCATGATAGTAAAAGGATTGAGTATATTACCACAGGTTTGCATTTTACATATTTGATTTATAATGTGAATCTACTTCTGGTTTACTATTAATTTATATGATTTTTTTTTTTCTTACTGTATGGGAATAGATACTGCAGGGAAGGATGCAAATTTTCTTTTAAAACTGTTATTTTGTAGCTGTGCAAAGGGACTGTGGGTAGGATGAATTGAAAGGGTCTATGTATAGAGCAGAGGAGTAGGACCCGTGAGCCCTGGCTTCACTTCCAGTTTCACCATTAGTCTACCAGGTAACATGGAGGAAGTTGCTTCGTAATTCTGCACCTCAGCTTTCCCACCTGGAGATAATCATACTGCCCTTATAAAACACTTCACAATTGAACAGCTCTAGGTAAGAAGTAGTTCTAATTTTTTTTTTTTTTTTTTTTTAAGAGGCTTGCTTCTACATACTATATGCAGTCCAGATTAAATGATGAAACTGTTATCTATGTGCTATATGGCGGACTACAGGATACATTTCATTTAACATGCACTTTTATTAGACATCATGCTCAGCAGTATTTTTTTCTTTCTCTAAGGAGAAGTGATAGGGAACATAAGAATACAGGAATGGTCTGTAGAGATAAGTGTATTGCAATTTATTCTTGTGTTGCTGGCACTGAATACTGGAGCAGATTTACAAGTGGAATTTGCAGGAAAAAAGTTATTATTGTCCCCATCTGTAAGGAAGACTGGTTCAGTAATTTGGACTGTACAACATAATTTAAATTCAGTTTCCTGTGCTATTGCAGGTTTCCTGTATTTCCTTAAGCAAGTCACTTTTCTTTGCAGTGCAATTCTCCATCTGTAAAATAAGAATAATCATGCTTTCCTATGGAATGTGCAACAGTTGTAAAGCTGGACATAGAAAGCTGGTAGGACACTCCGATACTACAGCTTCAGGGCCACAGAAGTATGGTGGGTAGATGCACGAGGCTTTGGAAAGACAAGAGAAACTTCCTGAAATAAGTAAATGAGCTAAGAGTTTAGACCATCTGTGCCAACCCCAGTTGGAAGTATTGGAGAAAAACAAATGGGGTGAGGGAGACTTTTAGATGAAGAGTACAGTTTTTTCTTTTCATTCAAAAATCTCTGTCTTGTGCCCAATTTTTGTGGCCATTACCCTGATACGTGAAGTTACATGTACAAAATCTATTTCTAAGCAAAAAATGCATGCTAAGGTACATGTCATATGTGCTTTTCAAGGAAGAATAAAGTGTAAATGCTAAACTTAAATTTACTGAAAAATCATATGGAGAAAAATAAAACTCATTTGGTAAAATCAAATGCTAAACATTTCCTCAGAAAATCTTTCTTAAATTACACATTTAACTTGAGAAATAATTTACCAAATACCACCTCTGTTTCACAATAGTAAAAATTAACAACTTCTATACTAAGTGTCAGTCAAATGTTATTTGAAAGAGCTATATACAGTATATTAAATAACAAAGAAGCTGACACAGCCTTAACTGTAGTAGTTCTTCTAATTACTGCACTGTGCTGTGTTATATTATATCACATGGCATAATTTAGTATATCTTTCTTTGTCAATGTATTACTCATCATTTTACAAATTACAAATCTTTTATAGGAAGGTAATTCATACTTGGACGTAGTGCTAAAATGATAGAGTGTTTTCCTTTTTTCTCAATCATTGATCTTTCAAACTTTTGCATTTAGCAGTATTAATCATGTTTATTAGCTAAGTGTTGTCATAAAGAATGGAATTTTTCTGTTACTTTCATATTCAATTAAAATGTTTTTTGCTTGCTGCCTCTATCTGCTGCATCACAGTAATCTATTTACTTATTCTAACTGAAATTCTTGTTCATAAATTCAAAACAAAGTCAATACTGCAGTTACACATTTTCATAACAATCTATAATCTAATTGAAAATGTGGGGTGTACCTGAAAAGGAAGCGTACTTAAAGTACCTTTTTACTCTAGAAATGTTCAGTCTAACTTTTTTAAGATGGTTTCTTTTGTGGACCAGGTGTATTTTAGAAGTCACTGACATGGTCTAGTTAACTACTCTTTAAAAGGAACTTCTTGTTACTCAGGTGTGTAAGTGTAATACTGAAGAAAACTACAATCTGTAAAATTGCTGCAGCACACCCTGTCTTCAGAAGACCAAACAGATACTCTAGGCCAAACACAAATGCTTAGTTTGCTCTACTGTGTTTTTGTTATGGACTGTAATTACTGTGCATAATAGATAACTGGATTCTTTAAATTCAAATTCCTGGATAGTGATGATTTCCGAGCCCAACCTAATGCCTGGCTTGTTTAACCTAGCAAAGTGAAGTGTTTCACTTAGGACATCCCCAGGATTAAACCCAGCAGTGGAGGGAACACTGTTTAACTCAAAGATAACATAGCAGCAGGATAAATTGTTGTAGCCTGTTCAAGGATGAATTTAAGCTAGAATGCTAGTGAGCATTGGAGGGAGTGAATAGCGGAGTGACTCTCCAGTGAGATTAACAGCAATGAGAGACCTAACAAGCCTGAGGTGGACACCAATTAGTCTCTGGCAGGGACTGGGTGGCCTGATTCCCTGTGGTAGCAGGAGATTGTGATTCAGTGTCTCAGATGTTCCCATTCTGCTGTATTTACTTAATTGTGAATGATGTTTACTTGGATGATTTTATCCTTAAACATTTAGCTTTTCCTGTTTCTAGAAACTTAGTGTGATGAAGGTAGGTGATGCTGAAAGTTTCTGATCATATTCTTTGTCTGTTACATACTTAGTAATTTATTAAAAAAAGGTTCAGATGTAGGTTTCAGGTGCTGTGTTTTTGCTAGGTGCTTAGCTACGGTAAAGAGTATTAGTTCATTGCTAACCAAGCAAAATGTCTTTTAAAGAAAAGTATATGCCATTTATGGTTTGTTTGTACCTTGTTTTGCAGGTGGGAGTGAATCCTCCTGGGATAAAGACAAGCTTCAGTCTCCCATTACAACGGGATCACAGCACAGCATTGGTCATCCCGCACTGTCAGGGCAGTCAAGCCTTGGAAGTGCGCACCCACTCAGTCCTCTCCAGCAGAATCACCTGCTCACCAACAGTACGTGCTGTACTCTTCGGTGGGGGGGAAGTACATGGAGCTCTGCTTGGAGGCTGGACTTGTGTTCATCCTCAGCCTCCTGGAGATGGGGGAAATGGATGGGAGACGCCTGAGTGACAGGAGGGTCAGTTTTCCCTCTGTCTGCTGCTTTTGTGCATCATGTCCAAGGCACCTGCTGGGATACAGCCACGCTCTTTAAATAATCACCTGCTGCTGGGTTAGGGACTGTCAGTCCTTAATTGATGTCTCCATGGCCTGGACTGAAGGGAAGAATAACCATAAAGTTGCTTAAAATCTTAGCTGTGTGAGAAAATTCTTTCCTGGGTAAAAATACTGACCGCCAAATAAAAAATATGAGAGCCAGGAATAAATGCAAAATGTCTAGTTAAAAGCAAGCAGAAGCAATCCCTCTGCCTTGTTTTGCCTTATACCTGCCAGGTGTGGGCAAGGTCATCCATTGGACCCAGCTATCCAAAGCAACTGGAATAAAATGACACCGATAAAGTTTGGATACGGAACTTAAAGCTCCCTTCAGCCTATCTCTTTTCCTTCCCTTAGGAAGGGAGCAGGTGGGAAGCTGACAGTTGCCCTTCTTCTTTGCACCCAAGGAGGTGCAAGGGAAGGGTAGGGAAAGTTATTCCAAGAAAGATGTTCAGGATTAATATTTTAAAAATCAGTGAGGAGTAAAGTTAATTCTAAGAGATGATGACGGATGAAGAATGAAAATCTCACTATTTCTGAATTCTTTTTATTTGTTTAAGCTCTTCATCCTCAAAGCTTTGAAAGTTGATTTTTGGTGTTAGTTTTAGTGGATGAATGACGTTTCTACTTCCTTACACAATTTCAGGAGTAGATAGTTCTTTGCTACCTATGTAGGGCCCCAGACTTGAACAAATCAAAGCTATTGAAATGACTCCTACAGTATGGGTCTGCTTTATTCATGGGAAGTTAGGGACCTGAGCATTTTGGGTTACGTGTCAGTAAATAAGAATCACCGGATCATAGGACTCAAATTCACTGTAGTTTATATTCTTGCATAATTAAATACCTGTATATATTTTACATACAGGGATATTGTGTTGTTTGCTGTTAAAGAAAACTAAAGATATTTTCCAGTAGATTTTTGTAGTAGGCAAATGTCTATAGGCTATTAAAGGGTTTATTGAATGTCAGACATTATGTCCTATGATTTGCAAGTGTAGGATGTATTTTCTTCATAGTCCCCTGAAATGTTTGACGGATTGTGTCTTAAAACTGGTGATGTGCTGTTAAATTCTGTTAGTAGTTTGCATTTAGTTTGCATGTCAATTGGACTTTAAGTAGACATACAACTCAATGTGGCCAGATGGTGTCTGGGAGTTTTGGAACTCTATAGAGTATGAGGAAAGATTATTGGGCTGTTAAGGGAGATATGCAGGAAGACAAAGGCTTATGGATATAGGCACTGAAAGGGATCGTCAATATGGTTTAAAGTGAAGGGAGATATATATGGGTTTTGCTTATTACCTATCATAATTAATATTGGTGTGGATCATCATATAAAATATATAGTGAATCATAAGACATCACAGTTGTTGATCATGACATACTCAAGCTAGACAGAAATCGTGTGGGAGCTCAGAATATATACAATTCTGCCTTTCATGGTGGGTGCAGTGGTGGTTTTATATTGCTGTAGTCAAATTGTATTGGAATAACATAAGCTATATCAGTCAATGATGTTTTTTATTGTGGGTTCTGTCATACACTAAAATGATGACTGACCTTCTCATTTAAAATAGTTAAGATAAAGCCAAGAGTTCAAAAACTTCAGAAATAAGTAGTGTGAATAGCATATGATTATGACTAGCTATATGATTATGTTATTTACTACTGGTACCTGAATTTTTAACTGAGAATTTCTAATCTAAATTTCATTTAGAAAAACGGTAAGACATTTTGCCTGTCAGAATGAGTTCTGTTTTTTTCTGAAAAAATAATTTTGGATGCCAAAAGGAAGCTATCTTCAAGTTCTCTCTAAAGAATTCTTAAATGTGAAATAACCTGAAAGAATTTTTTCAGTGAATTTGTGTTTTGATCTTGCTTTCCATTGTAGTAATTACTAAATGCAACAAGTAATGCACGTGCTGAAATAGGTATTAATGAAACATGAGAACCCAATTCTTGCTAGCAGTAGCATCACCTTTTTGGCAATGTCAAGATCTGCAACTTGGTCCAAATGAATTTCATACCTTCTTAAATTGTTTTATATCCATAGCAGAAGACAATTTAAAGTGACTTTTTGGAAATTAAAACCTCTGGCAACAATTTTAATCTCTCATTACATGTGCCAGTTCAGAGACCTTCTGTATGGTAATTCAGTAGTGTCTATAGTCCAACCCATAGCTTCCTGTATTCAAGAAATAGTCCTAATATAAAAATCTAGCCTCAGATTGCTGTGTATGTGAACTAATAATAGTAAGAGGACTTGGTAGGAGTATATTATCAGATAAAATTATTAATAAATATTCATCTGATGTATTGGAAAAACAGGCATATATCTGCATGTTTGGGTTTTTTTCTTTATTACTCTTAATAGAGAGATTACTGGACTTGTGCACTGTTGTGTATTCATTTTGCTAATATTCTGTTACTATACAGCTGTGTGTTTCTTTTTCCCTAATACAAACCATGTAGCCTTTTCTGGAATGCAAAGACAATTATCCCCTATGTAGCATCGAAATTATTAACACATAATAATATTGAGTTTGACTAGTCAATGTTCCATTAGAATATAGACTCTAAAAATTAAGGTGTTGGGTTATAAAATGAGAGACTGACACATATAACCTGCCCATGCTCTCTTTTAGGGATAGACCTACCGTTTATGATGATGCCCCACCCTCTGCTTCCCGTCAGCCTACCTCCTGCTTCGGTTGCAATGGCAATGAATCAGATGAACCACCTCAATACAATAGCTAACATGGCTGCAGCAGCCCAAATGCACAGTCCTCTTTCCAGGGCAGGGGCTTCTGTTATAAAGGTAAGAGTCATCTCTGAGACTTAGAAAAAAATAGCTTTTTGTGGCTAACAAAAACATTTATAGTGACTTCCTTACGGAAGATAACAGAGGCAGCGAGCTTATGCTGCCTGTGGCATACCTGATCTGCTGTTCCTGATAGTGCTTCAGTCTGAGGAATACCCATGACTACAGTTAAGAAGTTAAGATGCTCCGCTTTACAAATCTGTAATGTAATTAAAACCAGATACTAACACTCACTGGAGGCTAGGGGAATAAGCAGTGCTGCATCTGTTAAAGCTCAAAAGCTATTCTAAAATGTTTAAAATCAAACTTAATGTTATACTTAAAAGAAAAAACTGTAGAACATAACAGGAACTCTAGTGTGGTGCAATTCCATAACAGGTTAGTAGCAGAGAAAATCATCAGAAGTACCTTAGTGAGTACAGTCTCTGGTAGCCACACCTAAATTTCCTTCTGACTGGATAAAAAGTGTTTATACTTTTGAAAGGCTTCTGATAGTCTCTTCCAAGCAGGTTGTTAAGAAAATTTCATGCCTATGTTGAGAGGTGAAGTCCTGCCACACACTAAAACATATGTTGAGACAAGAAATTTTCAAAGTAAAAGTATATAGGATCAATGCATGTGAAGGGTTGGTGCCATGGGATTCTCTAAAACAGTGTATCCTCTTTTTATTGAGCAAAAATTAAGTTTTATCAATCTAACTTTTGTGTGTATTTGCAGGCAGGTGCATGTTGTTGAAAAATTTAGTCAGCTTTGAAACGTAGTTATTTTAGTCCATTTTGCTTTGTTTTTAAATGTATGAGCCTATAAGGCTATCTGTTCTGGAAAGTACATGTCTTTCTATTTTGATATTTATGCTCATTTACACTTACGTATCCCCACCATTCTGGAATCCCAAAGTTCCGAGTTGCTTTATTCTAATAACTTTCACTGATTTGCTGAACTCAGTCTCTCGTATCTTTCTTGTAAAACATCTTAATTATAAAATACTGTTATTTTATCATTGAGAAAGTTACTGTTGCCAATATTACAGGCCAATTGTGAGAACAAATTAGTTAGGATTGTGTTGTACTTTCTATTGTCATAGCTTGCTGCTGCAGGAAATTTGTTTCTACATCAAACAGGGAAAGAAACTAGTAGTACACTACCACATTTTTATTTTTTATACTGGTATTTAATGATCTCAATGTACTTTCAAAGAAAAAATGAAATCTCTTTAGTCACCTTACTGTAGAATAAAATACTATGTCCCTCTGTTGCTGAGGTTCTGGAGATCTTCCTTTTTCTTGTGATGTTCTTCCTGGCCCTGAGCATCTCCAGAATTGTCTCAGGTAGTTTTTCTTTTTTTACTGAGACTCCACATCCAAATAAGGACAAATGTTGTTCTTAATACTTTGGTTTTGTTTACATTTTGTTTTCTTGGATTCTAGGAGACTGGTAAAATTCAGGGGGGTGTTCTCCAATTAGAGACTATTTAGGATTAAGATCTATAAAAACTTCTCCCTATCATCAGTGTATCTGCACAGTTGTTGACTGGATGAGGGAAATGTGGTATCTCTGGTGCCCAACTGTCCATTAGTTAATGCAAGTCACTGAATTGTTAGAAATTAATTGAAGTTCCATTCATTTCACTTAGTAACCTTTTCTTTAACTGCTCAGAGACCTCTTGAGAAAACTATAACTTAAATACAGCAGTGGAATATTTGTAGCAGCAAGTGGACTGCATAAGCTTCGATTATATTTTAAATGTTATCAGTATCTCAAAATGAAGATTAAATATGTATTTGTAAACAATGCTAGTTCTTTGTAATATAAACTACAGTTTTTCCAAAGAGTCGGGTTTAAGGATGCTCTTCAGCAGACCCTTGCTGATGCTAGTTATTCATTTACAGCTATTTTTTCCCCAACACCTGCACTAGAGGATACACGACATCTCCACAGCAACAGTAGGTCTCACCAGCACTCTAGTGGGAATTATTTCCTCTACATGATGTAGAGGAAAATACACCGGTAGCTAATGTGACAGAGGTAAAGTGTGCATCCATTGCTCTGTTACTCTCACCTGTCAAGTGGTGCTGCATCTTTCTCTCATTTGTTCTGAGTGCTGAAACTCTAGATGAATTTTATTACAAAGGGTGTGAGGCTTCTTTTGTCCTTTCCTTCCCTTATGTACAATCAACTAGCTCTGAATGATGACTAATTAAGATGAAATCCTTGTACAAAACGAAACATGTAAAATAAAAGCATTGCTGCTCTTGTTATCTGTCAGCAGTATTACTTTTATTATATGATGTTATGTAAGTGCATTTATTATGTACAAAAAATGACTAGTTTTAGATAGACTGCAATTCCAGCATTGTGTCATTACTTGAAATGGGAGAAATGAATCGAATATATTGAATGTGTATCTATTTCCATACTCTGATCACTGAAATACCACTTGGCCTGTTTCCTATAGGTGTGAGAATCAGCTGCTTTATAAAGGTTTTGAATGAAGTCATTATGCTTTTTATATCACGTTTGCCATTTAGAAATAAGCTGTTCTACCAAGATATGCATGATCAGCAAAGTTAACATTTAGTGCTCCAGAAAGAAATGTCATAACTATGAAACTTGATTTCTTCCTGACAGGAACACTATAAATTAGGCAGGCACAATGGCCCGGCTCACAAAACCTTCTTAGCCATCTATAGTATGATCTGATGTGATTATAGCAGCATCCGCTAGCAGTGCTGTAGCTATGGCTTTGACAGTGCTCCTGAAATAAATCCAGTCTTTCAGGGTTTTACTGCACATCTGAAAGAGCTTGCTCTGTTTGAAACTTGGCTCAGATGGTTCTGAAGAATCTGTATAACTGAGGGTCTCATATGGCAAAACCAAAATTTGACAGCAACACTGACTTCATCACTATCTCTGTTCTCCCTCTTGCGTCTACTCTTCTCTTCATTCTTTTTTTCCAGAGCTAGTTAACTCTGCAATCCAGTTACTGGCCTAGGCATAAGATGCTTTGCCAGCCTGCTCTTGAGGACTGGTCTGGGGTGGAACTTAGCTGAAGTACACTTGAATCACGGTTTAGACTAGAAACAGTAGTGAATAAATGTAGTAGTTTGCTGTCATCCAATGATTTTGTTCCTGACACTCAGAAAGTGGCGATATTTTCAGATCTTCAGAGGCTAAGTTTGGATGGGCCCGTTATACAAAAGAGAAAGGATTTTTCACCAAAGTTTATACAACAGCTCAACTCCAGAGAGCAATAACTACGTAACATTAAGATTTTTATTTTACGGTGGACCTATAATGAATACAATTGATTATATAACAAATCAATATGACTGTTAATATGCATTCATAGCATATTATAGAGTTTATCGTAAAGGAACTGTTAAGATGCATGCTGAGAACACAAATTGAATAGAATTCTGAAAGCACACCTAAATATTGAAAGATCATTTAAATTAAATTGGGTCTAAAGGAGTTGAGACCTCACAGCACATAACATGGACAGCAAATGCACGAAAAGGTGTCGCAGCAAAAATGGGAATAGCTCTTCTGTTTATTGACAGTACTTTGTGACCTCAGAATCAGACCATGCCCATGTAACAACTCTCTGTCCATAGTGGATTGAAGCCTCAAGCTACGGATCCTCAAGCTACTTACAGTAAAGGCATTAGGAATGTTAAAGTAGTGTCGTCAAGCCTTAAGTCTCCATTTATCCAAGTTAAGCCAGAAGAGGCTTATAGGACTGAAAAACATACTAGCTTACACAATTTCAGCCAAAAGGCGGGGAGGGGGCGCAGCAGAGGTTTGGGGTTAGGAAAGTATAAGCGGGGCTGGCAAGAGCCAGGTTTCTGGTGCTGTGACTATGCGAGTCCTTGTATATTCACTGGAAGGCCACTGTCCCAGGTGTCCTTTAAAACAGGTTGGTGGGAGATGCTGTCATTAGGGTGGGCTTGAAATTGTGGGAGCCGAATCCAAACCAGGGGCCTTAAGCTGCTCCCTTTTGTGTTGGATATCAAAAGAGTTCTGAGGGTAATGAGGCAAAATTTTATCCCAGAGATTTGAGAGGCTCTTTTACCATTTTCTCCCAGTTTTTCCTTGCTTCTTGTTCTATTCACCCCACATGTTTTGCACTTCCCTTGCTCCTCTTGGTCATGTCTCACCCTTCTTCCTCCATCTCTCCTCCTTCTCGTTCTCCCTCCCTTGCCTTCTGGCTCTCTAACAACCTCTTCTGAGCTGCTGAGAGATGTGCTTCTCCTGAGTAGGAGTATTTCTGCAAATTGGTTTCCTGCTGTCCATTTTTCTTCTATTGTCATTCCCTCATGCTTGCTGTATTTCTACTTTTCTCTTTTTTTTTTTTTCCTCTTATTCTTTCCACCCTTATCCAGGTCCCAATTAGGAATAAATGGCACATGTTTTGAACGCAACTGGAAAACCCACAGAAAAGTTAAAATCTAAGACAAATGCTTTGGTTCAAAAAAACCTAAAAATAATAAAATCTTTATTTTTATATTTGAAATTTTATTTCTTTCAGAATTTCAACCCAATGTACTTTAGAAACAAACCAAATCCTCCCCTGTCGTTGTCCTGTTCCCCCCCACCACCCCCAAAAAAGGGGGGACACACACATTGTAAGTGAAATGCAGTGTTTTGTTTTGATAGAGAACTGAAATCTTGTACTTCACATCAACTCTACGCAATTTCTGTCTGAATATTTTGGTCTACTGATAGACAGAACAAAGCATTATTTTGTACAGTATGATCTAGACATGCAGCAGAGATTTTTGAGTCTCCTTTTCTTTGTGTTCTGTTCTTCTCCTGATTTTGTGGGAATGTTAAAGCATTTGTAAAGGATGTATATGACATGATTTTAAATTCCCTAAAGAGAATACAGATGGGCTGTGTAATTATTGCTGAGAGGTGCTATTTTCTGTGTGCTGTACAACTCATATTCATAATATTTACCTGACAGCCAGAAAAATGTGGCCATCTCAGAATACTCA